GTAAAGTAATATATATATATATATATATATATATATATACACACACACACACACACACACCTGCTTTGGGCATAAATGATTAAGGTATTAAATTACTTTTAGAATACAATGTACAGGTTTTTTTACAAAGGAGGAAATTAAGGTAGAATTAAGGTAGATAATGATTTATTTGTGATTTTTAGATTATGTTTCCAGATCAAACATTGGTCTATGGAACTACAGCTTCAACATTCAGTGTGCCTCTTTGATCATGCTATTCAATAACAGTGTTATTGTTATATATCTAGACTTCTGTACCACATGATATCTTAATTTATAAACTTAGAACAGTATAAAATCAAGATGGTGACATTCACTGAATTAAAAATTTGTTAACAAATAGGCCTCAAAATATAATTATAAATGGAGAATCGTTGTTGAGTGGCTTCCAGTGACATCTTGCAGGGATTAGTTCTTGGCCATACACCATTTAACATTTTTATCAGTAACCTGGAATAAAAACATTAATGATAAAGGTTTCAGATGGCGAAAAGATTGGGGGAATGGTAAATAATTAAAAGAACAGGCCACTCATACAGAACAATCTTGATCTCTTGGTAAACTCGACACAGGCAAACAATATGTATTTCAATATGTTCAAATATAAAGTCATACATCTATTCTGGGAATCAATGACTGTGAAAAAGATTTGGGGGTCATGGTGGATAGTCAGCTGAAAATGAGCTCCTAGCAGGGCTTAAATGTAGCTGGAGCTATCTGGAGTGACGCTCCAGTAAATATTTCAAACCTGCAGGGCAGACGCCCCGAACCACTGTGCCTCCTACAGGGCTGAAGCCCTGAGCCCTGGCATGCCCCTGTGAGCCTAAAGCCCTGAGACTGCCTGCTCTGCAGGGGCTAAAACCCGGAGCTCCAAATGGGGCAGCTGAGGGGGGTGGGGAGACTTCCAGGAAATATTGTAAGGGAATTTAAGCCCTTGCTACTAGTGTGATGCCATGGCCAAAGGGGCTAATACAATCCTTGGATATAAAAACAGGAATGTCAAGTAGGAGCTGAGGTTATATTACTTCTGTATTTGGCACTGGTGTGACCACTATTGGAATACTGTGTTCAGTTACTGGTGTAGCTACAATGGTGCAAGTCATCCAGTAGCACCAAGGCCCATAAGATTATGGGAGCTCAACCAGCAGAAGACATCCTGCCAAAGGCACTATGGTCATTACCCCACAGTCCACCTATAGGCAGACAAGGAAACCTGGACAACACTTTCAAAAGACGGGCCTGGGAGCTTAAATTCATAATTCTGCTAGACACTAAAAATCTCAAGGACTGAACAGAGACACTGAATTTATGGCTTATTACAACAATCTGTAACCCACTACCCCCCTATTTTTGTCCTATGACTGCAGAGGTGTTTAACGGGCCATTCTACCTTGAATGATCCCTTCAAAATGGATGTTGATAAATTGGAGAGGGTTCAGAGAAGAACCACAAGAATGATGAAAGGATTGGAAAACATGTCTTATAGTTGAAAGACTATTTAGCCTATCAAAGATAAGGTTAAGCGGTCACTTGATCACAGTCTATTGATACCTAAATGGGGATCAGAAATGTGATAATAGAGAGTGCTTCAATTGGGAAGTTGATGAAACTAGACAAATTCAAACTAGAAATAAGGTAACAGCATCTGTAACAGCAAAGGCAATTAATCATTGGAACAACTTGCAAAAGGTTTCAGTGGATTCTCCATTACTGGAAAATTTTAAATCAAGATTGACTGATTGATAGATTTTCCTAAACTATATGCTGTAGTTCAAGAACAGCTATTGAAACATAAATTATTACAGGGGAGTTCTATGGCATGTAGTATGCAGGAGGTCAGACTAGACAGTCACAATGGTCACTTTTGGCTTTAAAGGCTATGAATCTGTGAGACACTTGACAATGGTTACCATTACCATTACAATTACCAGCATTGCAAAACCTAACTTTTAGGTATCCTGATGGCTAATGGGATTCACAGAAGCCAGCTTGTTGAGTTGGGAACTCCCTAAACTAGCCAATAGGAAATGCATAGGAGAAGGGTGTGGCCTAAACCCTGCTTCTTTCAGAGAGTTAGTCTACCACTCCAGGCTGTAGGGAGGGTCCTCTCCACTTGAAATTCACAGTCATGACCCCTTTCCTGGAGTTAGGCACCTAAACCACATCAGCCTTTTCTTGTAAAAAACTGAGGAGGAGAGGATGGTGCTCTTCACCACCAGCAGGCCAGTGGTTGGAGCATTCACCTGGGATGTGGGAAATGCAGATTGGAATTCCCACTCTGCCAGATTTGGATCAGGGATTAGCACCTCGGTCTCCCATATCCCAGGTGAATGCTATAACCACTGGCCTATCGGTGGAGAGCAGCACCACATCCTGGCTGTCCTTTGTGCAGATTGGTTAAATTCAGAGCAGGTCTACTGGATTGGCCACACAAGCAAACCAGGTGGAGGAATGCCTAATTTGTGAATCCTGCTGGGATTTAGGTATAAGCAGCTCAGTGGCATCAGGATTTAGGTGGCTTTGTGCATGCTCACTGAGAAAAAACAATCAGCATGGAGCCTTTACCAGTGGAAATTTTAGCACCTCCTGGGTTAGACAGCAGCTGAAGAGAAATCTTGAAGAACTCAGTGGCACCTAAATGTTGGATTTAGGAGTCTAAACTTCCAGTCAGACA